AGCAAAAGTGAAGTAGAAAGTACATTTTTAAATCTAAAAAGCTGTATTTAGGAATATGAAAAAAAAAGTTGCCAGACAAGTAAAGGTATTCAGTAAGATTCTAACTCATGGATACTAGCTACTTAATGGGGAGACTGACAAAGCTACTCTAACTCATTAGGGTTTTGATCTTTATGGGTCAAAGTGGGTTGAAGTCAGGTTTCACTGCAACTGCAAGCTATATCCTACCAAATATAAAATTGTTTTCAAATGTTCTAGTCAATTCCTTTGACTTGGGAAGAGCCGGTGACCTAGTAAAGAAAAAGCCAAAGATCAACAACTAAAGATAGTTCAGGGTAGATGGAAAAACAAAAGAGGATACACAAAAAAGTAGCATCCAAATTCTCAAGGAAGTGAACATGTGAGCAGAGAAGCAGAACTGCAAGGAAGCTAATCTTGCTCACACACCGAGGAACATAAAGCTCAAGGAATGGCAGGGTGAGAATAAAAAAAGTAAAGCTGTAATAAGGAGCAAGCCAATGCTGATTTCAGCACAAAACACTATATTTGAGAGCAATTTTAGTTAAGTCCAGCTAGAAATGGTAGCGGTGAAAGGAGGTGGAAACATTATTAGTAGTAGTTGTATTCACTGAAAATAAGATGACATCCTGAGGGGAGGATTTAGCTTATTTTCTTCCACTTACTTTACTGACTTATTTACATCAGCTGGTCATACCACTTATGTAGATGCTCATTAGAAAATAATCAGAGGAAAATTAAAACAGCTTAAAAGGGTATGAGTGCTTTATTCAGCACACTGAAGTATTAATGCTTATAATTCCAAGTCAAAATAGTTCATGATTTGCCTTTTAAATAGGAATTCAACAAAAAAGTAAAAAAGATTTTGGCAGACTTCAATTTCTAAGTTGTTGCTTAAATTGTAGCTTCTTAAAATTCTTAAATGTGTTGCAAGACTAACAGGTCATTTGAATTTTAAAAGGATACTTTTCCTATTTCAGTATTAGTAATGATTATATAAAGAAAAATAGGATACGCATACGGATTGTTAAAATCTAAAAAGGAAAACAGTGTCTTCAACCAGGAAAAGTTTACAAACTTATACTCACAAAAGGAAAATGTATACCAGAAAAATAGTTACTTTAATTTGCATTTTACAGATTCAGATGTAAGAGATAGGAAAGATTTATACATGTGTTTAAAATTGCAGCAAGCAGATCTAATGTCAGTTTTGGAGTATAATAAACTTAAATTACATAATTCAATAAATTAGATACATTAAGGATTCAAACATTAAACAGCGCTGAGGTTTACAAGTTGGAGCTTGTTAATTTATAAGCAGCAGCATCTATAGTACTTGCAATGTATTATAGATCATTTCTCAGAAAAAAAGCACAACAGAGAAAAGTTTCTTCTTCCTAACAATCAACATGAAGCTTTAAGAAGTGTGGCACAGTGTGGTATTTCATGCATGCACAGCAATATAAAGCACAATCACCAAATAAAACAGTTTGTGATAAATTTGACAAATTAATATTTATCTGTTTTACTAAACGTGCATGATCTCCTCCTCAGAAGTTCAAATGTCGTGTCTTGGATTTTAATATACTGTTTGTACCAGATAGTAAGATTTGTTTGCGTCTAGGGCTTATGGTACCTGCCATAAGCCGTAGACGGCCTAGAAATAAAAAGGAGTAAAATCCTTCTTCCTGCTCTCCTGTACAGCTGCATTCATTTTGCTGGACTGTGGCTGTGTGTGCAGGAGGCTGCTTTTCAAGGACCACATGCCCCCTCAAATCCTCTAACCTGCTCTCATGTAAGCAAGTGGATGGAGGGAACATGTATCAATGTCTCTCCAGTGTCCGTTAATATTAGCTGGGAACTGGGTGTTGAGGACAATAATACAATTGCACCCCCCAACCAAGTGACAAACTATTTCTCCTCTCCCTCCCACAAAGCAAGAAGGAAGCAAAGGAATGTTAAAATCTTAAATTCCAGCTCAAAACAGAGTACCTATTTTTATTTTTAAATTGAAATAATGAGAAGGATGGTTATGCAAGGCTCTAGACACCCTAATACAACTAACAATGCAATTTAGTCTCTTCTGTGTGCCATGCCTCACACAGGAGTGAACCTGCAGGCTCAATTGTAGGCCTTAATGACTAAGGAAACATGAGGGAGAGAAACATCTGAGGTCCTTTCAGCTATAAGCCAGTCAAAATAAGATGTTTTTAAACACTAAATTTAAAACTAAGACAACTGTTAAGTTACTGAGCAGGGTAAGCTACATTTTAGCTAAGTGGAGACAGTCAAGAAGCCCGAGGCTGAATCGATTCAATCTGCACAGATTAGTCTAAACTGCATTTATTGGTTCCATCTACAGGTGAACAGACATTCACTTTTGACTCTGAAAATGCAGCTGCATGCCTGCTGTGGCCCAGGCAGGAAGCCGGGGGGTGCTAGAGCACAACTCCCTGTTTGGCTGAAGCAGACAGCTTGGGCCAATGCTAGCCTGCCCACCCAGCAAGGGGGAGCTTGCAGGGGAGGTACAAAGCATCATGGGATGCTGGGGGACTGCGAGTTCACTTGAATCGGGAGGGGGATCTGGGGCAAAAGTTCAATAAACTGATTTAAGTCTGATATTACTTCCATCCAGGTTTATCTCAAACTGGTTTCGGCCATTTTGAAAGTCGTTTACGTACACTGAACTTCTATTGTGTTACAGATGAGCTGGTTTCCAAACATTTATTCTGGTTTATGTGCAATTTCTCTCCCTAGAGAGAAATTAGTTTACTAATTAGCATTAGTTTACGTTAACATTGCATCAAGACTGTTTAAAATGAGTTCTAGCATTTTTTCCTCTAAGTCTTAACAGTAAAACTTACAAAAACTGGATACCAGTTTCAATGATAATTTAGTCAGCTATCACCAGAAGTAATTTTCCATTTAGTTTTCACACTACTTTTACCTCACCACAGAGCAAATGTTATGAGCACAATAAGCAAATTTGTTTCTAATGGGAAAAAAGTAAGTAATTTTGCCTGTGGCTCAAGACCAGAGAAGGACACAATACAAAAATCCCAGATTTCAAGAGTTCTTTCTGCACTGTAAAGAACTGCATTATGGAAAATAAAATTTAATGATCAACAAGCAAGTCAGAGTAAGCTTTGATAAAGATGAAAAATGTTTAAGAGCACTTTTTATTCATTTTGTGAAAACTGTTTTTACTTTTGAAAATAAAACATGCTATAAAGACATCTATAGACTGTACCAGCATTATAAACATTGATATTGAATTAATTATCCTCACCAAAACACAATTTACTACAACTTATAAACAAGTTGCTTAAAAATACTATTCTCCTTGCTTTACTTATTTCAATTTTGATTTACATCAATTATTGATTGCTATTAACCAGTAGTGCCGTCTCTGGATTCTCTTTTGACACCGACAGAACAATCAATTTATGCAGGATTCACTGTAATATACCCGTTTCATTATGTATGCTGAATACCCTTTTTAAAAAGGAACTGTTAGGGAATGCATAGATAAAGTATGCAGTATTAAATGCCAACACACTTAAAAAAAATCCTAAACATACCACTAAAAGTCTATAAACAACCTTTTCTTTTTTTGCACTGCCCTTTTCATGTAGAACTACAAACAAGCAATCCCATTCAAGCCAACCCATTTCCACTGCTTCAAATGTGCTATATTAACTTTTTATAACAGTCCACAAAATTTCTGGACGCTGAACCTGTGACCAAAGACTGAATGGCAAGCTTGACCCAAGCTCCTCAGCTAGCAGCAAGTACTTAACTTTTAAAACCTCCTCAGCAGACACAGGCAGAGTAAAGGGATTGGTAAAAGTTATTTCCTCTCTTGCTCCATCAGCAACAAAGCAGTTATGTACATGTATGTTTTAAAAAAAATAAAAGTTTACAAACAGTGGAGAAAATAGTTGGCATCAACAGGCTGATAAGGCTGTCACAGTAGAAAACAGATTCAATTCAGTTTCCCACTTTAAAAAAAAAATTTAATGCAAGGAAATAAAAGCAAGAGCTTAAGAAAGGAAAAGAAGGATTTCCTTCTACAGGATTAGACTCAGTATCTGGTCCTTAAAATATATTGATACCCATGATTTAAAAAGGAGGACCACCTGGTGTTTTCCTCTTGGTGGTAGGGCAAGTCTATTCACATCAACACTGCAGTCAGGATGAAGGTATAGTAATTTCATGTTAAACAGTTGTTTTTGAATGAAAGAATGAACTAAAGAAAAAACTGATTTACTGGTAAATGATAAGCAGAGAAACTGGACAGGAGAGGTCAGCATAATTTACATGTTTAAAAACTATACATGTCATTCATAAATATATTTTCTAATTAATAACCATTTCCATTTGAAACAACATAAATATTCAAGTTGGTATTTGATTTTTTTTTCAGTTCATAACCAGTCCTGTAAGGATTGTTTTGTCTGTCTGCTTGATGCAGTCATTTAATGGTCATCACTACCAGGATGAGCAAAAGCCTTCATTACCTAGTATGCTGTAATAACACTTTAAAATTCTGCAATTCTTTTATACTCGTTGAAAGCCTGTTAAAAAAAAAAAAAAAGGGGGGGGGGGTATTAGTATAACTTGAAACTAGCAAAGATATTACAAATCCATCCTCCACTTGTTCATTAACCATCAATTAATTTGATTTAAACAATTTTAGAAGCCAAAACCATTTTTCTTCATAAGAAATTTGCAATATTTATGGATATTACTCACAATATACAGTAAAAAGATGATCACGAGAACTTAAATAAATCCCTTCATTTCCCCCTCAATCATTAAAATATGACCATGGTCACAAAGCAATATCAACAGTTTCAGTTATATGTAAAATAACTGTCAGTAGAACAAGAGCTAGAGACCTGAAAAGTTCTGTCAGCTCTCCAAAGTGTGGTCTGAGAAACAAAGTGGGCTTTCTTTTAATTCCTATGCACAATGATGGACCACCCCCCCCTTAAACTGGCAATACTATGCTCATTTGCCACACGTGCCAGATTTTTACCAGTTAAAAACATTTATCCTAATAGTTAAATAATATGGACAAATACAAGCACCACATCCTCAAGTCTCTGCCCACTTGTACATTAAGATTTAGCTTTTTTCTTTTTTTTTCTTTTTTTAAGATGTTCTTTTTCATGTGTGTACATTCCAGACCAAACTGAGAGAAGTGCCATGCTCAAGGAATTCCTGATTCTACAAAAAAGGAAGCATCAAACAGTCTAAATAAGGCTTTTTTCCCCCCCAAAAGATCCAAAATAAAATGTTCTCAACTTATTTCCAGATAGCTAGGATTAATGAGAAACGCTTCAGAATTTATTAGCCATTTTTTATTTTATATGAGACAGACTTACCTTCCAAATGCATTTACAAGAGCAACTATTTCTTGACGTGTCAGTTGAAAGCCTTTGGATGGACTATTCTCAGGAAGGTTCTGTATTTCTCTTTCGGAGAATAAAATCTTTAAGGCAGTTCCTAATCCTTGAGTCTAAAAAGAAAATTAAGATTTTTTAGCATTAATAAATTTAAGTTTAGTTCATCCTTGGGCAGAGAAAAAAAAACAATTGAGAAAGTGCTTATTAAAACACAGGCAAACATATCAGATGATCCTTATGCACTTGCCTCATCAACAGGTTCACCTATTAAATTTAAACATATTCCTGACCTTCAAAGTTTTTCTGTTAATTCCTTTCCACTTTCTCTCCCTGTTCTTCCAAATATGTTAATCACAAAGTAGGAAAAAAAACTCTTCAGAACTAGTAGAGCCTATCATCCCCCTCTCCTCCAGTTAGGCCTCATCACTGCTACAGGGTCACCTCACCTCTTCTCCCTTCCCCTTGGTCAAACCAGTCTTCCCTAGTAAAAAGTCCTCACATCCTGGTTTCTCCACCTGCAGGAAAGGAGTGAGGTTTGTGATCTAAACCCCAACCTTGTGTGTAGTGCCCAGAGGTGCTAAACAGGGTTGGAGGCAAGACAACAGTTATTTTCTACTACTTCTTTTATGCACTGGGGAAGGACCAGAGACATTTGGCAGGAGGCAGTGGTTGGAAGCAGCTGCAAGAGGAGACTGCAGAATGGGAAAGCTGTTTGGCTTTAGTCAATGAAAAAATGAGGAGGAAAAAAGGGTAAGAGTAGCATAAAGGAACCAGAGAACAGAATTTCTCCTAACAGGCCAGGAGAGCTGAGCCCTGAGAACCTAGGGGCCACACTTGCTCCTCCATTCATTTTGCTACTGAACTAAGTGTGCAGTTCTTTCTACAATGCTGTAAGTCTGATCACATGATGGCAGCACTCAATTTCAGAGTATTATTCCCAGATAATAAGACTGCATTTAAGTTTGTATTCCAGCTATATGGCCTAGGTTTTTTTCTTCTTCAAATGAAATTAGATGTGCAGCTGTGACATTTCACAAATTGGCAATGTACCTAATTCTATTGCAAGTCTTGTAAAAAGTGTGGGGTTTTTTTTCTTAAAGCCATCACTTCTGGAGGCTAGTGAATGCACAATGACCTCAATTTTCATTAAAAAAATAAAATGTACCTATGCCTTATGGGTGGAAAGAGGCATCTGAAAAATTTGAAATGAGTACGATTAAGACGCAGACACCAGAAGGCAGATAAAGAGAATCCAATTTTTAAGTGTCATGGTTCCCAAATCAGTTGTATGCTTTTGGAATGTTTCTTATTGGATACACTTCATTTGTTATACTTGCCAGAAAAGCTTCCTACTTGTCCTTGGTGAATGGATTTTGCAAGGCTCATCTAGCTATTTAATGTCAGAAACATGCTACACTTGAAGCTTGAAATATTAAACAAAATCTTATTACGTTATTATGAATTTCTGATGCTAGTTATTGTTCATAAAACTTTGAAAATTTACATCTTAGTAAAAGAATTGTGGCAAATTATAAAAAAATAATTTCCAAGATTTTAATAATTGTTCAGTTATATCATGATAGCACACAGAAATACCAAAGATTGAACATACGCATGACCTCAGCAGTAAGATGACAAACAGCCTACAAGTTCTAGGAGAGAGAGTAAGTTTCCAAATAACGTGCATGAAGTAAACAAAATACAACCCACCTGCAGTTTGCCCCATAATCTACATTTATCACAGCCAACACAGTCCATTATGCGGGATATATTCTTGAAATGAAGCCGGAATTCTTCCTACCAATAAATGCATAAAAGAAGTTTCGATCTAAATAAGTCTTTAAAAAGCCCAGCATTTTCAAAATTTATAAAACACCGGCTTTCCTAATATAGTACTATTAGGAAGTACTGTTCTACTATTATATGCTATAGTAAATCAACTTGTTTCCCTAAGAGAGTTCCTGTAAAAGATTACAAAGTAGGTATTCAGAGATAGATATGAGACAAAATTAATACGGAGCAAAAAAAGTTGTTTTTATAACTTATTCAAAGCATTCATTTAGAAAAATAGGCTAGAAACAGACAACTAGCTGTTTTGTAAGCAACCTTTAAAATACAAACTGAATTGTCACACTAATATAATGAATTAGTACGAAATAAAATTGTACTAATTCAGTTAACAAATTTCTGCCCTCACAATAATGCGATACAAATCAGCCAATTTTGAATTAATGGCCACACAACAATGGAAGACACAGTCACCTGGATGAAGTACTTGAAGATTAAGTACTTGCCTCTAGGGCAGGAGTGGGCAAAATATGGTCCACAAGGGATTTCTGCAGTCCATGGCAGGTCCCCAAGCCACTTGACCCAGGCACGGGGGGCAGCCTGGGCTGCAGCATATGTGGCTGGTTCCTCCACCCACAGGCACGTAGCAGGCCTGCGGTAGCATGGCAGCTAGACTCAGCTTCCTGGCAGCCCTGATGGTGGTGGCTCCTTCTGGTGACTACTACCAGTGTCACTCCCAGCCCCACTGTCCAGGCACCCCAGCCTGTCCACCCTGCACCCACTGCTGGAAGCACCAGATGGAGTGGGTGGGTTGCTTCAATGGAGACCAGCCCAGGACCCTGGTGGGCTGGGCATGCTCAGCCAGGTGATGGGATGGGACCACAGGCTGGAGGGAAGTGACATTCGGAAGTAGAATGAGCAAGGAGATAGGGGGCAGGATCACAGGGTAGTGACAGTGCAGGGCTGGGGCCCAGGGCAGAGCCATGATCTGCTCCCTGCATGGCTCCTTACTGTCACCTCCCCGCAATCCTGACCCCAACCCTGCCTGCCACTCTGTGCCTGCCCACAGATCCATCCCATCTGCCTAGCAGGGCGCACCCTGCCTGTGAGGGTCTCAGGCCAGTCTCCATGAAGACCTCACCCGCCCGGCACTCCTGAACCAGTCTAGTAATGTACCACTGACGCAGCCCACAACAGCTCACCAAAACTCCCTAAGTGGCCCTCCAGCTTAAATAATTGCCTACCCTTGCTCTAAAGGCCCTGCTACACATTCAAATTAAAGCTGGATAAAAACTACTATAAAGTTGTTACACATTTTGAAGCACTAACTTTATAGCTGGGTGGCTCTTTTTATTGATGGATAGTAATTTTTATTATGTGATAAATTTTGCACGTGTTGGCTGATCTAAATTACTGCACCAGTTAATTGCATAATATCTATCTCTCTCTCTCTCTCTCTCTCTCTCTCTCTCTCTATCTCTATATCTATCGTGTAGTAGGGGCCTAAGATCCAGGTCTTTCTGATGTGAAACTTGTATTTCAGTTTCTTTGAAACTGAATTACTTCTGCCCACCCACAAAATGTTGTTAAAAAAAGAAGAAAAGAAAAAAATGCCCTATAGGGAACATTCCACATAAAAAACAATGTTCTTTATTATGATGACTAAGGAAGATGGGGCTTGCCATGGTATCCACAGCAGAAGACATTTCAATGTCCTGGGCTGAGGGTACTATAAAGCAGCTCTTCAGCTACCTTAATGGAAATGTTTAGATACCCAACACACTTGTTGCAAACACATGGCATATTGACCCAATTTAATCTTTGTAAGACCTCTGTACAAGGTTCACCCATCATTAAAATTTATTAAGAAACTGCTTGTCATTAAAACAATATTACGAGTTTTAATCATTAAATGGACAACTTAAAATGCAGATGTATTTTAGAACTTTACCTTCAGTGATTTGGCCCCTTTTTTATCTCCTGCAAACATGGACTTTTCATCAAAGTGCATGGTGAAAGACCTGATCAAACAAATTAAGATAATAAACTTGCACAACAATTTACCATTCAAGTTCACAAATTCACAATTTTGCAAGTATTTAGAACTTTTCGCTAATGTGTGTTGATGAAAGAAACATGACAGCCTGTGTGGCAGCAAAAAGTAACACACCTGCACATACACAGATTAAATATAATGAAGTACAAGGCAAAAATCCTAATCCTCTCGGGTATTTGTGATGTACACTAAATCAATAATTATATATAGCCAGCTGGTTCTCAAAATAAAAAAATGTTTTCAGAAATATTTAAACCCTTAATACATAGAAAATAATTCCTAGAGCTGATCCTGTTAAAAGTTTTTAACATTTACAAAGCCTAGATGTTGCATTTTTCTAGTATTCAGTAGAATTGTTTATAAATATTAACTGGAAAAGAGCAAGGTTAAAGCTTCTGTTTAAAAAAAAAAGTTTCTTAATAGCTCTGACAAACTTTTCCCACTCTTTGACACCTTCATTTCTCTCTTCTAGCTTCTCTTTACTTTCCCACAGTTCTCGCTTCCTTCACCCTGTTGTCTAACACACATTCTCTATCCAAAAGTTACCCAGGGCAGAGCCATGATCTGCTCCCTGCATGGCTCCTTACTGTCACCTCCCCGCAATCCTGACCCCAACCCTGCCTGCCACTCTGTGCCTGCCCACAGATCCATCCCATCTGCCTAGCAGGGCGCACCCTGCCTGTGAGGGTCTCAGGCCAGTCTCCATGAAGACCTCACCCGCCCGGCACTCCTGAACCAGTCTAGTAATGTACCACTGACGCAGCCCACAACAGCTCACCAAAACTCCCTAAGTGGCCCTCCAGCTTAAATAATTGCCTACCCTTGCTCTAAAGGCCCTGCTACACATTCAAATTAAAGCTGGATAAAAACTACTATAAAGTTGTTACACATTTTGAAGCACTAACTTTATAGCTGGGTGGCTCTTTTTATTGATGGATAGTAATTTTTATTATGTGATAAATTTTGCACGTGTTGGCTGATCTAAATTACTGCACCAGTTAATTGCATAATATCTATCTCTCTCTCTCTCTCTCTCTCTCTCTCTCTCTCTCTATCTCTATATCTATCGTGTAGTAGGGGCCTAAGATCCAGGTCTTTCTGATGTGAAACTTGTATTTCAGTTTCTTTGAAACTGAATTACTTCTGCCCACCCACAAAATGTTGTTAAAAAAAGAAGAAAAGAAAAAAATGCCCTATAGGGAACATTCCACATAAAAAACAATGTTCTTTATTATGATGACTAAGGAAGATGTGGCTTGCCATGGTATCCACAGCAGAAGACATTTCAATGTCCTGGGCTGAGGGTACTATAAAGCAGCTCTTCAGCTACCTTAATGGAAATGTTTAGATACCCAACACACTTGTTGCAAACACATGGCATATTGACCCAATTTAATCTTTGTAAGACCTCTGTACAAGGTTCACCCATCATTAAGATTTATTAAGAAACTGCTTGTCATTAAAACAATATTACGAGTTTTAATCATTAAATGGACAACTTAAAATGCAGATGTATTTTAGAACTTTACCTTCAGTGATTTGGCCCCTTTTTTATCTCCTGCAAACATGGACTTTTCATCAAAGTGCATGGTGAAAGACCTGATCAAACAAATTAAGATAATAAACTTGCACAACAATTTACCATTCAAGTTCACAAATTCACAATTTTGCAAGTATTTAGAACTTTTCGCTAATGTGTGTTGATGAAAGAAACATGACAGCCTGTGTGGCAGCAAAAAGTAACACACCTGCACATACACAGATTAAATATAATGAAGTACAAGGCAAAAATCCTAATCCTCTCGGGTATTTGTGATGTACACTAAATCAATAATTATATATAGCCAGCTGGTTCTCAAAATAAAAAAATGTTTTCAGAAATATTTAAACCCTTAATACATAGAAAATAATTCCTAGAGCTGATCCTGTTAAAAGTTTTTAACATTTACAAAGCCTAGATGTTGCATTTTTCTAGTATTCAGTAGAATTGTTTATAAATATTAACTGGAAAAGAGCAAGGTTAAAGCTTCTGTTTAAAAAAAAAAGTTTCTTAATAGCTCTGACAAACTTTTCCCACTCTTTGACACCTTCATTTCTCTCTTCTAGCTTCTCTTTACTTTCCCACAGTTCTCGCTTCCTTCACCCTGTTGTCTAACACACATTCTCTATCCAAAAGTTACTTCTCCCAGAATCTGGTTGGAAATTTCACATTACTAGTAAAAGACCCCATATCTTACTTTGTGTCTCTGAAGATATCCAACAAGAGGGCTTTAGATTCAGCATCCTCGTTGACATTTCCAGTGTAAAGGTCTACAATTGAACGCTCAAAGTATGGTGCAACCTTTGACAAAGCACGTAGCTCAATCAAATATAAGAAGTACAAGTTTTTTAGCCTTCTCAGTCCTTCTCCTTTTGTTTCAATAGAATCAAAGCGGCGAATGAACTCTTTTACATTAGGTCCCCAGCTAGGCTTTCCCCAGGTTTCTAACCAAAGGAAAAAAAATGGTAAAGGTTGTAAATATAGAAAAACAGTGCTTCTTATGCACACACACCTGACTGCTTTGGGGAAAAATAAGCTGAACTCCAACGGTAGCTTAAAATAAAAACATTCAGAATTTTTACTTGATTATCAGTTACCTTCAAGAAGACATTTCGCACATAGATGCAAGTTGATGCTAGCATGAAGTCCAGAAATGAGTTTATAGAATACTCTTTTCTCCAGACAAAGACCTGTTCAGAAAGATTAATTGCATATCAAAATACTATAACAAAGTTAAATTTTCATTAAGCGTTATTTTAATGCAAAAGTTTGTATCGTTCAACTTGGGTGGAAGAGAAAGACTAACCTAGACAAATAGAACTGCAGAAGTCTAAGATTGCTGGGTATGCATGACAAATTAATGTTTAGTTAGAAGGGATACTTTTGGAACAAAAAGGATTGGAAAAAACACAATTCATCTGTCAAAAGTCAATTCCCTGGGTGCATGGAAGTGGGAAGAACATCTTGAGCACAGAAAGTCACTGAATATCCTCTTCTCATCACAAAAGGTGCAATGCCAGCACATATATTAAGAGCATAACAACTATCGCCAACAACGAGATCAACTAACTCAGAAGTACTAGTAACCAGGAAAGAGCCACAGACCCAACAGTGCATAGTACTAGCACTGGAAAACAGAAATACACTATTATATTTGAGGAAGCAAAAGTAAGGCTAATGGGTATCAAATGCAATGGGGACCTGCACTAAAAGAGCCTAGAATGGTCTTTAGAAACCATTTAAAGAAAGTGGTTGCAAGAAATAAAGACAACATGGAATAGTACTGTAGGGCATGCAGTCCCTTATGAAATTAGAAACAAAAAAGCATCTGCTGAGATCAAGTTAATTAAAAAGAAAAACTGTTTTCTGAATCAGTGTTTTTATGGTGCACAGAGCGCACAGATGCTTCTGATGCTTCCACCTTTACCACATCCACCCCAACAGCTTCTGAGTCAACTCCCCCCATTACCAAATTAAACTAGAATGGAAGATTAAATTACCAGGAAGTATATCCTCATTTTAAAGCCAATGTTGCTGTATACTGAAAGGCATTTTTAAGCGCTAATAGCAAAATAAAAGTGTTTGCTGCAAAACAAAATTAACTGTTCAATAGCTTAACTACACTTCCTTGCAGAATGTTTTTCCACCCATCTAGGATACCTTTACTTTTAAACCTGCTTGGCCTTTACAATCAGTAACAGACACTTAAAATCAAGAAGCAGTTTAAGATGGAAAACAAGAAATCCAGTTTGCATGGGAGACAAATATCAACTGTTTTACAATGTGAATACTCGTCTAGAAGAAGTAGGCAATTTCTCTGGGAAGACAAATGTACGTTTGGAGCTATTTCAAAGGGAAAATGTTCAATAGGACAACAGCTATAACATTACATGGTTATGTGCGGCCAAGCTGGGAACTCTACAAATAAAGCTAAATCACTTGCACTTAAATCCTGAATGAAGCATGGTTAAAGCTGGAGAACCCATAGAGAGTGATAAGCCCAGCTAAACAGCCCACAGACTGATTCCTAGAAGGGGTAGGATATCATCATAGGGTAGAGACAGGTATCTCCAAATGAAGTGATCACCTATGCTGGGATGCATCCCAGCACAGCTGATCCACTTCAGTAGATGAAATATATAGCCCACTGATGCTGCAGAGAAAGAGGCACTGTGTTCTCCTAGGACTTGAGGGACTTTGTCCTGCACACTCCACCAATTCCTGTGAAGGATTGGGCCCCTAAAGCCCTGGGACTGCCTGTCCAGCTTTCCCCATTACTGAGATGCATCCCTGGGATCTTTGGAGTGTGCGTCTTGGTAAGTGGGGAAAGCCAGGCAGGTGCTCTGGGGGCCGGATCCTGCCTGGGAATTCCTGGGCTGTGAAAGATTGGGCTGCTCAAGTTTCCAGATACCTGCCTGGGGTGTCTGAAGTGTGGGTAGCTCCAGCTGTACCCTGCCATAAAGCAGATAAACTAGATGTCTGCCACAATGAAGTGACACCACTTATTGCTACTTTCTGTTGCACAAACCCCATACCCACCCAGATGGGGGTTTTGGCACAGATGCTAAGGATATAAGATGATATTTTAAAAAGTAAATAATTTCCCATAATTCTGAATGTTTCTGTGAAAAATTCCCTGGGATGTAAATTTTATAGCAGCACAAAGGTGACAAAAGATACCCGTTTTCCATTCTTGGTGCCATGCTCAAGAATATGAACAAGGGACAGCTGAGTGCAGACTATAAGGCATAATATAGGCCACATACAAACATTCAATTCTAGCGGTATAAATTTTCCACAAGAAGTTATAGTGGGAAAAGGAGCAGTACAGGCATTCAGTCTACAACTACCCCTCTGCTCTGCTCCTTGTGCCTTCCTGAGGCTGTGGTGATCCCAGTCTGGGGACAGTGTAAGCTACTGCACTCTGCTCAATCCTAGGCAACCGGACAAAGCCACCTGCCTACTTCTCACACCAGAATCCCCAGTGAGAAACGGGCAGAGGGCTGTGCG